CCGCCCCTGGCGCGCTCCGCGCGCCAGGGAGGGGGGTCCAGAGCCGATCCGAGAAATCCGCGCGAACCTCAGAGGTTTTATGTTTATGTCATTCTTCGTTCCCCTAATTACGCAGGGGGAGGGGCATATCCATCCCTAAGAGTTGTGGAGGACCATCCATGCAGAGGAAGCATGTTGCCAGATACATTCCAGATGTCTAAAGCATGTGTTCCGCATGTGTCAGACATGTGCAAAACGTATTTAAAACATGCTTAGATTAGTTTCCTACATCTTAGACACATGTTAAGTTCAATGATCGGACTGTTAGGGTGTCCATTGTCGTGGCATCCACAAGTAGATCCCTAAGGCGATGCCGAGGAACGGGCCCAGCCAGATGACCCCTCTAACGCGCTCCCCTCTTCCAGAGGCCGTCCGGAACGGCGTCCCCTTCAGCCCCACCCTTTGTCTCTGCCCCACCTCTGTGCCCCCCCGATGATGGTCTTCAGGGAGGCGTGCTTCAAGCACACGCCACCCGGCAGCTGCCAGCAGATCATACCTGCCGCGGGCATGATGTGAGGCAGCCGGTCGGGATGGACGGTTGTGTGTTGCAGCCCCAAATCAAAATCAGCATCATCATCAGCAACAGCAGCATCAACATCATCAGCAGCATCATCATCATCAGCATCATCACCACCATCCGAATCATCACCACCACCACCACCACCACCATCATCATCATCATCATCATCATCATCATCATCATCATCATTATCATCATCATCATCTCTATCATAGATGATGATGGTATGTATATGTATCATCATGTATCATCATCATCTGTATAGCATATGTATCATCATCTGAGAACTTGGTTCAAGGACTGCTGAGAACCTGCCCGTGCAGGCCGAGACTGTTAGTTCGAATTCACCGTTCTGCTTGCCGGTTGCCTCTGCTACGAGTAGTGGTGGCACGACTCTCGGGGATGTTACGGTTGGGGCTGGGTCCAGTAATATGCTATTCTCTCCTCCCTCTGCCCTTTCCATTGTCACGTGGAATGCTCATGGTTTTTTAGTGGTGCGGTGAAGGCTACGAAGTACACTACCGCCTCCAACCGCTGGGGGAAGTTTATCAGTCTCTGCCGTCGTTACTCAATTGTGTGTGCACAAGAGACGCATGGTCACGTAGCAGATGTGTCGCATCTTCAGCATGATCTTCGTAACTCTAGCATTGGTCACTCTTTCTTTGATGATGATAGTCGCACTGGTGGCGTAATTACAGTTATGTCGTCATCCTTTTGTTCCGCACTTTTTGATACGATTGGGCACACCCCAGTGATAGAAGGTAGGGTTCTTCTCTCGCTCTGCAAGGGGAAGCACGGCACGCTCCTGATTCTCAATGCGCACCTCCCTAATGTGTGTGACCCTTTGTCTACCTACTCTCACTACCTCGCCAGAATGTTGGGGGCCCTTCCTGATGCAGCAACTTGTTTCAACATTGCCTTAGGGGACTGGAACTTTGTTTATGAAGACGAAGGCTGGCTTATGACTGATGGGAGTGGCTTTCGTCCTGGTGATCGGGCTCCCACTGACTTGTTCCTCAGGAAATGCGGTACCTGGGTTGAGCTTTTTAATCTGAAACGCGGCGCGAAATTCGGGATATGATCATCTCCCAGACGCCAAGGCTGGACCGCATATACTCGGACATTCCCTCGGCTCTCTTGGCAGATCTGACCATCAGCACGTCGGTGGTGGGGAGGCTTGAGAACGTCCAGAGCCCTGACCACATCCCAGCCCTGACGGTGATCGAGACATACGCCCCACATGCCCATGCCAATGCTTTTGTCCCTCTCTGGCTTGCTCGTCACTCCTGTAGACCAGGAAATGTTAACTACTGTTCTGACACCGATGCTGACTCAGCGTGGCGATGACCAACTGTGTGCTCTGAAGACTCTTGCACGCACCAAGGAACTCATGCATCCCACTTGTAAGCGAGCTAAGAAAGCCATTGCGTGTATGCTTGCCTCTTCGCTATCTGAGAAGTTGCACTGGTCTCTGCACTCTCTTCGTGGCTGGCGGTCTTCAAGGGAGCACATGGTCATACGTGCTATTGAATGCTACGAACACCTTGGTAGTTTCTTTAATGTGGTTACGCTTGGGCTTGTTCATCCTGCTGCTCTTTTTGCTCATATCCAATCTCTGCATACCCAGATGCTAGACAGAAAAGCCCCCCTGATCGAGACCACCCCTTCTGAAGAAGCCACCAAACGAGCCGCCCTTGAGACCATTCGGAGGAAGCAGGGTATCTGGAAGCAGTTCCGAAGGCGCACCTGGCTCGCGAGTGTGAACGACTCTCTTGGGGTACGTCCCTGGAGACTCCGGCCGCTGCCACGCGTGATCACTGGAGCTCTGTCATCGAGGACTTTGAGGCTGACACCACTCTTTCGGATGAGATCCTGAACTTTACCCTGAAGGCTTCGGATGTCTCTGATTCGTTTTGGAGGATCGATTTTGAGGAATTCCAGCAGAGGATCAAAGCCCGTTCCCCTTCGAGCTTGGGGAAGATGGATTGCCCTACCAGTGCTGGGCGATTGGCCCTGCCCCCAAGATTCCATTCGAAGTATATACGAGCTTGTGTGATGGGCTGGCTACGGACCTTCCAGATGACATGCGACGGCTCCTTGTAGTATTCCTGCCCAAAGGTACTAAACAACATAATGAAGGCCCGATGCTTATTCGCGACTGTGCGGAGACTCGTCCACTATCCATGGGGGGCATTGGCGTTAACCTGCTTTCCTGTGCCTTCTGCCTTCCGCTCTCTCGCTTGTCCAAGACCTCTGTTGGTGAATCGCAAACATGCATATCTGGACGCTGTATGCTTGGTAATGTAGTCTCTGCTGAGAGCTGGGCTATTCAGCAAAATATGTTGGGGCATGATCGTGCTGGCATGCTGCTCACTGATTTCGCCGCTGCATCCCCATCCATCCTGATCGGCTTCATGCTTGCTGCTTTACAAGCTATGGGTGTCCCGAGATTTGTGCCAGCGTTCTACACCATGCTCTATCGAAAGAACTGGGGGATCTTCACACTTGGGGGCAAGAGGTTTGATGGGTTCAGAATTCTTCGAGGAGTTCGGCTGGGGGACCCCAGTAGCATGTGCCTCTTCTGCCTCAGCCTGGAGCCTGTCTTGCGGTGGATAAGTGTTCGGGCTTGCATTCAGATCCAACGATCACTTGCAGATGCGGACGGCTGCTCATTTGCGATGCACAATATCCTGATATCTCTGCCGCGTATCTGGTCCCTGCCTGTTCTCATTGGTCATGCGTGCGGTCTCTTTCTCAACTCGAAGAAGTGCCAAGTCGTGGTACGTGGCTCTTTGAATCTGGATCTCTTACGCTTCAGTGTCCATGAGTATACCAATGGCTTTGCTGAGATAGAGTTTGTGAGGTATGCCAAATACCTTGGGATTTATTTATATAGGTCTTGAGGCTCGATATATGGGCTGGCAGGAACCCTGGAGGAAATTCTGTGCTCGATCTAGATCTTTCAGACAAATGGGGCTTGGTCTTGCTTTGACGTTATCCACTTTTCCAGGTCATGTGCTCATCGGTCCTCCGGTTTGTATTGCAACTCTACCCTGTTCCTAAGAACGTGCTTAAACAGTACCAAGAAATTCTGCAACTCCTGCTGGCTGCCCCAAGGCATTCGTTCTCATATAACATGATCACCCGGCTTAAATCTCTAGGTCTTGATTGTGAAGCGAAAGAATTGATTTGTCTCTCTACCGTTTCTCGCGTTCGCTTTGCTGCGTCGTGTTCGGCTGTTGAACAGGCTCGCAAAGATATTCAATCAGTTCATTCCGATGAACGTGTGGTTGTTCGCTGTTGTATTCGGTATCATCCTAGTTGGTACAGGTCGTCGTTGCTCTACTCTCTTTTTGACGTTATCACGGTAACCATGGCTTTGATCCCGACGCCCCCGAACAATGCGCAGACTTTGCAACCCAAAATATACCAGGCTCTTCATAAACGCCCACTTGCTGGTGATCTCCCGACTGATGGTCTATATGTGCGGCTAAGGAAATGGTTGACTTGTGTATTAAGCAGACCGGTTCGGTATGTCGGCTGACCAGTACACAGATTGGATTCGGTGTCTTACGCACGTGCTGTCGAGGGGCTTGCACGTCTGCCAGATGTCACAATTTCCTCACGACCTTTTTGCTGTTTCGGATGTCCCATTATATATATATATATATATAATGATGCAGGTGCCCCTCAGAACCTCGACAACATGATCCACTATCGCACGTGCCCACGATTGAAAAACTTGTGCCTCCGCTGGATTGGCAGAGGATTTCCTGAGGAGACTGATGAGAGGCCGTGGTTCTCCTTCCTCCTTCTTCTTTACCCCTCGTGCGCTAATCGTCGTCTGCTGTGTGCTTGCATGTGCGTTGCATCTCTGAGTACCCACAGTCATGTAGACAACCATCTTCCAGGTACTCCTGAGCAGGCCTTTGAAGCGAGGTTCCGCTCGCAGGCTCGGCGTCACAGGGCGGTGGCGAAAGCCTGGCAAGAGCTTGGGGTCGAACTCTGTAACCCCCACTAGTGGATCATGGAGACAGGGAGGAAAATTGATGCTTAAGGACATGGGGGAAAAACAACTAAAATTACATCATCATCATCATCATTTGTATCATCACCACCACATCATCACCATCAACGGCATCATCATCGCATTTTCCTCCGCATAATCCTCGTCCCTATAGTCCACGTCCCACAGTGTCCATCTCCACAACAAACAACACCATCGTCATCATCGTCATCAGCATAACCAGCACGATCGTCATCATCATCATCATCATCATCATCCTTATCGTCATCACCACCACCATCATCATCACCATCGTCACCATCATCCTCATCACCATCGCCATCATCATCATCGTCAGCATCACCATTGTGGTTACGTCTCCAGTTCAATTTGCTGCTTTCAGTGGGGTTTGGCGTTCAGCATCGGTATCGTCATCATCGTCATCACCATCATCATCACCAACAGTATCACCATTATATTCATCATCATCATCATCATCATCATCAGCATCAGCATCATCGTCGTCATCGTCATCGGCGCCGTCATGATCATCACCATTATCAGCATCACCATCATGAGCATCATCATGAACATCACCGTCATCATCATCATTATCACCATTGGTAGCTAGTCATCACCAGCATCATCATCGTCATCAGCCCCCTCTCCTCCCTTTCGTCCGCCCCCTTGCTCCCAACACTTCTCGTCCCCTTTTGCCCCAGGAGGGTGGCGAGGGAGGGAGGGGAGAGGATGGGGGTAGGCGGGTTAATGAGGGATGGGCGATTGAGAACAATCGCGGAGCGATCTTAGCAAAGAAATGGGCCCATAGACAGCCATGCTCAGGTCAGGGGGCGAACACCACCATGTACCTGTGGTTGCAACTCGTCATGAATATGATTGCCGTTTAAACACTGCCCTGGAAACCACCACGCCCCCAACCGCCACGATCACGATGCCGACAAGCACGAAGAGCAGGAGAATGCGCCAGTTCATCGAATGCCCCTTCACCAATATTGCACGGCACTTCAA